GTTGGGGGAGCTGAAACCCGCGGAGGGGTGAGAACGCGGCGTTGTCGGGGCTGTGCTGGAGGGGGGGTTGGGGCAGTGCTGGTGGAACGGGATGTGGGGGCCGGGAGGGGTGTGAAGGCTGGGGGGAATGGGGGGCACGGCCCTGGGCTGTGCTGCTGCGGGTGGGTGTGATGTGGGGCAGCGGGTGGAGGGAGCTCGTTTCGGGCCGGGAGATGTCTCGGGTCGGGGGAGGTGGGGGGCACGGCTCCTTTCGGGCCAGGAGATGCCTCAGATTCGGGGAGATGGGGACGGGGGGACGTGGCCCTGGAGCTGTCTTGCAGGGAGGTGTGGGGTGCTGCAGGGGGTGGGGGTGCTGTGGGGCAATGGACAGGTGGTGTGTGGTGGGGCTGAGGCCAGAGGTTCCCTCCTTCCCTCCCTCCTTCCCTCCCTCCTTCCCTCCCTCCTTCCCTCCCTCCTTCCCTCCCTCCTTCCCGCTCCTCTTGGGTCTTTGGAGCAAAGGTAGGGTGAAGCAGAGAGAAGGGAACATCAGACATGTGAGGGTTTGCTCCAGGCTGGGAGCTCCACAGAGCACTGTGCATTTGGAGGGCAGGAGGGGATTGATGAGAAGAGCTGTGCAGGTGTTGGCGCCCACTTGGTGCAAGGTGTCAGCGGTGTGGATCTTGGCTTTGTGTGTGCTTTGCTGTGTGCTTTGACGTGGGCTTTAGGACACGAGGTTGTGGTGTGCCAGAGCTGCTGGGAGCTGGGCAGGAGCTGTGTGCTGTGCGTGGCCCTTCTGCTGCTTCCCAGCCCTCTCCTGTGAGTGTGCAGAGCAGTGGGTGAAGCTTTGCAGCCCGGATCACCTCAGCTCCAGCAGTCTGTCCTCCCAGGCAGTTTTGGGGGAGTTCTGGTGCCAGAGCTGTGAGCTGCTCCAGGAAAGGTGTGCCTTTCTGGTCCTGACTTTTCCATGAGAATTTCCTGAAGTTTGTGGCTTCCAAATGCAAAGTTTTTTTGTTTTTTTTTTTTCCCCTCAACCGATTGACTTGGGAATGCCCAGCTGAGCTGGCATTGACAACTTCATTGGTGGGTGCTGAACCCTCCCCATCTCACAGCACAGAGGAGATGTTGGTGTTGAGTGGTGTGGATGCTCACAGGAAGAACAGTCACAGGAATAGGAATTAGAGAAGACCTAGTTTGCATCCATTGGCTGATAAAGGACCGTGCCCTTTTCTGCGGAGCTCTGTCCTGTATTAAATCAGAGTTGGGCTTTCCTTGGGGAAAAAATAAGATGAGCAGAGAGGAATAAAGCTCAGTTATCCCATAGATAAGCGGTGGGTTTGGATCAGGCCTCAGGGGCACGCTTGCTTTGGAAGCCTTCAGTTCATCTTCAGGTAACCGTTCTGAAGTTTTCTCCCCACGTTTTGAAGCAGTGCGGTGCTCGCCTTTGCTTTCTCCCCTCGTGCCTCAGGCACTCAGCAGCTGGAGCTGCATTGCTGCCTGCATGGCTCGGTTCTGTTAGGTTGCTGAAACTCTTTTGGTTCCTTTTGCCATTTGTGCAGTGAGTGTTGGGTATCTGGAGCGTTACCTCCAGATTCCTGCCTTCGCTCTTCTGCCTGAAAAACGCCGCGTTTGTTTTTCAGTTCAAAGAAGAGATTTCCAGGCGGTTCAAAGCCAAACAGGATCAGCTGGTTCTGATCTTCGCTGGGAAGATCCTGAAGGATGGAGACACTCTGAATCAACACGGGATCAAAGATGGGCTGACCGTGCATTTGGTCATTAAGACTCCACAGAAGTAAGAAACTGTTCCGTGGCGGGGGGGACTGGGAGTGAGCGGGTGGTGAGAAGAAAAGCTCCGGCACATGAGCTCTCCTTGCTGCAGCGCTGCTGCACAGCTCTGGGTTTATCCTTTGGCCCAGCTTTTCCCTGGGTTATGCACCTGTGTGAGCCCTTGGGGGGGAGGTGAAGGCATCCTTAATGCAATTAGTATACGTGGCTTTGTGTGTGCAGAGCCTTCACAACTGGCAGTCTGGGAAGAAACCATTGGAACGTGGTTGTGTCCTCGATCTGATAACGATGACTCACTGTTAGCAGAAATTACCTTCCCAGCAAGCTAGTAGTAATGCTGAAAGCAATACTCAGGGTTTATTTCACTTCCTGCTGTTTACCCTCACCCTGCAAACTGCGGTACCATCTCCAAAGGTAACGAGAGCACTGTCCTGGCTTTTCATTTTGTTCTCTACCCGCCATAGGGAAGTGCTCTCTGAAGGCATTACAGCCCCTTCCTGTGCTGAGAGAAAACAACTGCTCGTTCTCCTGCTTCCTTCTTCCTTCTTTGGTTAAGCTGCCTGTCTGCTTTGTCCTCTGCTCCTGCTCAGGGGTTTTCAACATCGCTCAGATGGGTCTGGAAAACACAAAGGGAATTTCGGGTTTGGTGTTCAGAACTCCTGGAATACATGTGGGAAGGGAAAGGGATGCGGAGAAGGGAATCCTTCTGGGTTTGGGAAAAAGGAAATAATGTACTCTTTGTTATTTGGAGTGACATAATGGTGTTTCTTAGTTGAGGTGAGTAAAGGGAATGTTGGATTCTGTCTCATTTGAAAGCTCCTCAGTGTTCTTGAGCCCAGGACTGTCGCTGTCATGACTGCAGATGCTTCAGAGAACCATTTAAAAGCTCTTTTTTTTTTTAAAAAGGCCTGTGAAAGTCCTGAGGGAGAGCTATGATTATGAGGTACTGCTGGGGTTGGTTAACTGAGCAAAGCCGATGTGCTGCATGTGCTGCTCTGTGGCTTGTGGAGCTGTGTCTGCCTGGTGAAGGGAGCTGTGCTAAACTTGTGCTGGAATGAGAAATCTCCTTTATGAGGGACGGCCAATAAATAGCAGAGGTGAATTCGTAGCCACTTGGACAGAAATACTCTGCAGCTCCATGGGACGCTCCCTGCCTTCTGCCTCATGTTCTCTGTCTGTACAGTAAGACAGGGACTTATTTGCCCCAATGAACACGATAATAACATTCAGCACACGAGAAGCTGCAGCCAGGCCAGCTGCTGTTTACCCCTTGCAATAGCCCTGCTGTAACCTCCTGTGGTTTCTGTGGGAGCTGCAGGAGGATTTTCCTGTTTGGAGCAAACTCGTTGCTCAAGGATACGGCCGAGGTAAACAGTTCAACGTGGTTCAGACCGGAGCTCGTATGGCTCAGAGTGAGAGCAGTCGGGCTGCTTCGTGTGGGCCGGGATGAAATGTGAGGGCTGTTGTGCAGCAGGGTGGGAGGCAGGTCCTGGCAGATGGAAGGCAGCTGGGAGCCACGGCCGTGCATCCATACAGATGGGAATGGGAACAGCCTGAAGGAGCTGCCTGCTGCAAGCTCAGAGGGAAGCCTGCCCAGAGAACGCTGCTCAACTCTCCCAAATCCCGGAAGCGTAACGGCTCGTTTTGTTTCTTTGTAGGGTCCAAGATCCAACATCTGCTGCTTCTGCCCCTGGTGCTGCTTCTGCCCCCACCACGACGTCCCCTTCTCCTGCTGCCGCATCTCAGCCTTCCACATCCAGCAGCGCCGCTCCGGACGCGGGGAGCGGCGGCCGACGGAGCAGTGGGTCGGGGACTCTGGGAGGTCCTGGAGATGGAGGCCCCAACAGTGCCACGTCAATCCTTTGTAAGTGGGGACCACGAGAAAGTCAGGAAAGAAGTGTTTCTGAGGTGTAGATGGAGGAGTTGGGGTTTTTGACCCTGTGATTGTTTCTCCTGCTTACCTGAGTCATTTTCCTCAGCACGGCTTGGTTTGCCTGCTCAGGATAGCACCCAAACCCTTTGTGCAGGGGGTGTCCTCCCTGAGAGCTGCCTGCTGCAGGATCAGGGCACCCCCAGATCAGTGTGGGCGCAGTTCAGCCCACGCACATCCTCTCCTGCTGCTGCTGCTGCCCTCAGTTCCTGACCCACCGCTCTCTCCTCCTTCCCGTGTTGTTCCCTCTGCAGCTGGCTTTGGTGGCATCACTGGGCTGGGCAACCTGGGCATGGGCTCTGCCAACTTCATGGAGCTCCAGCAGCAGATGCAGCGACAGCTGATGTCCAACCCAGAGATGCTCTCTCAGATCATGGAGAACCCCTTGGTGCAAAACATGATGTCGAACCCCGATCTCATGCGGCAGATGATCATGGCCAACCCACAGATGCAGCAGCTGATGGAGCGAAATCCGGAGATCAGCCACATGCTGAACAACCCGGAGCTGATGAGGCAGGTGGGTCAGCGCGCCAGGACCGATCCGAGCACATCCCACAGCTTTGTGGTGGATCAGCTTCAGAGCTGGCTCTCAGCAGGGAGCGTGGGAATACCAGAACGGTGAATTTAGGGATCTCTTCCTTTTCCTTCCCACTGTAAACCCCTCACAGACAGATGGTGGTCTCGAGTGAAGTAAACAGCGATTGCTCAGCCCACGTGCTTGCGGCTCTTATCTCCCTTTCAGAGCTGCTGAATCTATTGTTTGCAGGGCAAAAAAGGATTCTTGGATCACTGTAGTGTGCTGCACATGAGGCTGCTGTGTTCTGATCCGTGCATGGGAGCAAAAGGAGTCACGGAGAAGTGAAGCTGCCATGAATGTGTTCTGCTCTTCTCTTTTTCTGCTGGTAGATTAATACAGAGATTAACACAGACTGCATGGCTGTACAGCTCTGTTGTGGTATCAGTAAAATATTGCACTGCTGATGGGCCGGGGTCCTGGAGGGCTTTATTTTCTGTACAGCCCCAGAGGAGAGGTGGAGGACACGGGGAGGCAGCATGAGGGAAAAATGAGAGCCTGAGCGTTATGTAGCCCTCAGCAGGGCTCTGCTGCTCCCCAGGAGGACTGCTCTGGATGTGTTTCCGTGTGGCTGCTGAAGGAGCCCAGTTTCCATGCACTTCCCATTATCTTTTTTTAATTTCAGCTCTGTCGGCCCCACGTGAGATTGCAGAGTTGCAGGGCTAAATTGTGAATGTTTCGTATTTATGCAGCTCAAAGGATGTCCGAATGCTCCTTGAACAGGAGGGAGCTGTCAGGAGCCTGGAGCTGATGAACTGCTTTTCCTCTAGCAGGAAGGATCCCAGCTCTTCCATCTTAGGTTTTTGAATGCAGTCCACCTACTTTGAGTGGGAACATGTGGCTGTTAGATGTTTGGATGTTCCGATACTGCTTAGAAATCAGACAATCCCATAGAGCTGAATTGAGGTTATAAAGGCAGAGAGCTGAGCGAGGTGGGAGGAGCCAGCATCCCCGGGCTCTCTTTGCTTGGATAAATGATCTCTCTGCTCCCCGGCTGTGAAACGGGTTTAATTATACTCTTCCTTCTGGGAGCTGAGAGTTAACTCTTTCAGTGCTCGGCTGGCAGCTCAGTGTTGCACTGCTGGGCTGCACACAAACCTCTGGGTGCGCTTCGCTCTGCTGCGGTGCACACAGGCCCAACTGTTCCGCGTTCTCCTCTTCTCTGGCAGACAATGGAGTTGGCTCGTAACCCCGCCATGATGCAGGAGATGATGAGGAACCAGGACCGTGCTTTGAGCAACCTCGAGAGCATTCCAGGAGGGTACAACGCCCTGCGCCGCATGTACACGGACATCCAGGAGCCCATGTTCAGTGCTGCCAGGGAGCAGGTATGGAGCACACCTCTGCAGCTCAGCATAGCACGCTGAGGAGGGAAGCTGCTTGTTCCTTCTCCAACCACAGCTCCCGGTCCTCTCCCTCTGGAGATGATGAAAGCAGCTGGTAGGAGAAGGAGGTGTGGTGCTGGCTGCCTGCTTTCAGTGCACGGGTTGGGGATGTGAGCAGGGACCTGCTGCTGCTCCTATGCTCTCCTAGTAGGCAGGATGCCCAGCATCGCTGTAGCTCCGTTAGCACAGTGGAGCTCTCTGCATTAGCTCCAGCCTGACACCTTTGGGTTGGTTTTGGAGCACGGGAGGAGCGAGCGCAGGTCTGTCTGCAGGCTGTGCAGACGTCCTCCAGGCTGACATTACCTGTGGGTATGGCTGGGTGCTGATTGCACGTGGCTGTTTGGAAGCCCAGTCTGGGGCTCTGGCCGTTTCTTGAGCTGGGGGTTTCTCTGAATGTGGCGTGTTGTGGATTGCACGCTTCTCAGGAGGCAAATTCTGGTGTGTGTTTAGCAAACTGAGTATGAGTGATGGGGTGAGTCCGGCTTTCCCCATTCAGGCTGACTAATTAGGCTGTTTCTTCTCTCTCTCTCTCTCTCTCTCTCTCTCTCTCTCTCTCTCTTCCCTAGTTTGGCAACAACCCCTTCTCTTCCTTGACGGGGAACTCTGAGAGCTCCAGCTCTCAGCCTTTGCGGACAGAAAACAGAGAGCCGTTACCAAACCCCTGGAGCCCCAGCCCCCCTGCTTCACAGAGCCAGGCGCCCAGCAGCGAAGGGAGCACTGGCTCAGGAAGCACCCAGAGCACACCGACTGTGTCCAACCCCTTTGGGCTCAATGCTGCTAGCTTTGGGGCAGGTACATAACAAGAGAGGGACCAGGGGGGTGCAGATGGCACAGACCAGCCAGGCGTTGGTGGGGGTTGCTGCAGAATGGGGCTGCTCTGCCGGCAAATGTTACTGCAACTGGTCCAAAATTGTTATTTCTTGTGTGCCTGTGGAGGAGCACTTCAGGAGCTCCACTGTCCCTGCAGCCCTTGAGAGCACAGGAGAGAGGGAAAGTGTTCCCTGTTGGCCCGTGGGTGAAGCAAAGGTGTTGTTGCACTTCAGGCACGGTGGCACTGCTCTACATTGCACTGTAAGGAGTTTTCCTTTGTTTTCTCTTTCCTTTACCCTTGCAGGCATGTTTAACAGCCCGGAGATGCAAGGTCTCCTGCAGCAGATTTCAGAGAATCCTCAGCTGATGCAGAACATGATCTCTGCCCCTTACATGCGGAGCATGATGCAGACCCTTGCCCAGAACCCAGACTTTGCAGCACAGGTAAAAGTGTTGCAGTTGTATCTGCTATTTATTATCAGATTATTTATATATTTATTATTATTATTTTGTGAGAACGGTCTGCTCCTGTAGTCAGAGAGGTTTGTCTTGCAGAAGGCTGAGAGCTGAGTGAGTGTAGACAATTCTGTTTAATTTCTCTGTAGCTTGAAGGCAGACACAACAGTGAGCCTTGTGTTTTAGAAGAGCCACTAACAGGAAGAGGTGGCTTTCAGGGGAGCATAGGAGTGGCCCTTCTCTTTGCCCGTGGGTCCCGTTCAACAACGCTGCCAGGAACTGAGCTGTCTTGTGTCAGTCTTTCAGTTCCCATAGGCAGGAAAACATGATGAAAGCCTGGGGAGAAAGCTGGGGGCATGAGTGTCATGTTCTCTGTGGCTTAGTTATGTAGAGTGTAACAGCCGTGGGAAGCAATGCTCTAAACCTCCCTGTGTGTGCTGTCTCTTGCTAGATCATGGTAAATGTTCCTCTCTTTGCTGGGAATCCACAGCTTCAAGAACAGCTCCGCCTTCAGCTCCCAGTCTTCCTGCAGCAGGTAACAGCCCCTGTCTGGCCCTGTGGGCTCGCGTGGGTTGGGCTGCGACAGCGAGGGGTTGGCACAGGGGAAGGAGAGGAGAGCTTGTTTGGACAAGGCAATGTAAACGAGGCAATCTAAATTACCTCGAGGTTGACTTGAAGTGAGACGAGTTCAGCTGCATGAAACCCCTGTGTGGACGCTCTCTCCTAGTAATGAGTTTACGAAAATTAGACTGGCTAATTGCTCTTGAGCAGCTGGTTCACTCAAGTGGATCAAAACGGCTTTAATTCTGGAGGCACGCGTGCCCCGTCCTAATCTGATTCTCCTGCTTTATGTAGGAAATCTGATCGAAGCTCTTGGAGTGTGTCTGCGCAGATGAGCGCGGTGGTGTAGGGACGGAAGGAGAGCCCAGACCTGTGGCTTGGCTGTGGCTGCAGCGCTGTGCTGATGGCTGTTCAGACTGCCAGCTGGTGGAGCACAGCCTGCAGGAGCTCTCACTGCTCACCACCGCTGTCTCCCTCTCTTTCATTCCCAGATGCAGAACCCAGACTCCCTGTCCATTCTCACCAACCCCCGCGCCATGCAGGCGCTCCTCCAGATCCAGCAGGGACTCCAGACGCTGCAAACGGAGGCCCCAGGACTCGTGCCAAGGTAACGAGTGCTCCTTGGAGGGGGATGCTGCAGGCAGAGCCGGCGTGCTCGATGCCAGCAGGCAGCCTGGCTGCCCGTTTACCCAGCAGATCTGCTCAGGGAATGCTCTGTGTGTGCCTACCTGTGGGCTCCAGCTGATGGGCACTTTTTGTTTGTTTGCACTTCATGCGGGAAGTCCTTCAACTTTTCTTTTTGGGGAAAAGATTTGGGAACCGTTTTGTCCCTCCTCTGTCTTTTGTTTGAGGTATTTAAGTGTCGGGTGGACTCAGTTTTACTCTGAGGAATGGTTTGAGATGCACGCCGTGGGGCTGTGTGGCTAAGTTAGGGCACATTGCATTGCCAGGTGCCCTCGGGCCCTCTGCTCGTTGTCCATATGGGTCACGCTCAGTCTCTGCAGTTTTTTGGGGCTGTGCCTATGTTAGGATGGCTTGCTCCCAGTGGTGCTGTGGCTGGGATACGAGCACAGGCAGTCATCGAGCATGACCAGCCTGGCTGAGCCTGCTGGCTCCCCGTGCTGCCTCGCTCTCACAAGATAGGCGGGGGACAGCCAGAAGTGCCAGCTCGCCTCTGAGCAAACCCTGCCTTCCTCTGCAGCCTTGGCTCCTTTGGCATGCCTCGAATGCCCCCGTCCTCCACAGGAGGAAGCACAATCCCGGAGAACCCCGTTCCCTCCGCTTCGACGCCGGCCAGTGCCTCTCCAGCCGGGGGTGGTAACCCCCAACAGCAGCTCATGCAGCAGATGATCCAGCTGCTGGCCGGAGGAAGCTCTCAAGTATGTAATCGTGGAGTCATAGAATGCCTTAGGTTGGAAGGGATCTCAAAGATCATCCACTTCCAATGCCCACGCCGTGGGCTGGCTGCCCACCCCAGCTTTGCATGCCCAGGGTCCATCCACAGCCTCAGGCACCTCCAAGGATGGGGCACCCACAGCTCTGGGCAGCGCTGCCACAGCACCAGTGCCCTCCAGTAAAGAATTTCCACCTAACATCTGAAATCTCCCCTCCTTTACTTGAAAGCCTTGTCCCGTCACCATATGCCCACACAGATCACTCTCCCTCCAATTTATGAGCTCCCCCTAAGTCCTGGATGCCCATTTATGTGCTGGTGGGCTTCTCTGGGACATCTTTGGGGTGAGCTCAGGGTTGTCCCGGTCCCGTCCTGCTCCCACCCTGCTCCAGGGCCGTGGTTCTGCAGCAGGCTTCCTTTGGCTCTGTTGCTTTCTGCTGAGTTTGCTGGCTTTGGTCCCAGGCCAGGTTAGTTCTTTGGGCTTGAAACTAAGAGTGCCGGCCATCCTGGTTGCTGCAGGCATGGAACTGGCCCTGTGTGCAGGCGTGGCTGCTCTGCCAAAGCCACTGATGATCCGGGGAGGTGGATAACACGGCTAAACACATCTCAGGAATTTCAGTGCTGCTGCAGCAGTGTCCCCGCTCTGCCCTGCTCCCCGGATGTGTGCCGTCTGCAGCTGAGGTCTCTGTCCTTTCCCCCTGCAGGCGCAGAGTCCTGAAGTGCGATTCCAACAGCAGCTGGAGCAGCTGAATGCCATGGGCTTCATTAACCGTGAGGCCAACCTCCAGGCTCTTATTGCCACGGGCGGGGACATCAACGCAGCTATTGAGAGACTGCTGGGCTCCCAGCCTTCCTAAGCTCCCGTCAGCCGCCCCGCAGATGTCAGCACACGCATCCATTCACATGCGCAGGGGGATCTTTCAGGAAAGCCCGCCGTCATTTTCATATCTGACAGCTGTCCATGTATTTAAAACAAAAAAGATACAGCTTAACCCCTGACCTTCCTACTAAGTTAAGATTTCATGTTGAAATGCTCTTTAACTGGCTTGTATGTGGATTCCAGTTCTCATCGTGGCCACAGAGACTTCAGATGTGTATTTTTCCTCAATATGCCCTCTGTTTCAGACACTCTTCTCTCTCTCTCTAGATGGTAGAGGCGATACTCCTAGTTATTTACCTGAATGATTGTGTTTTGAGTAGCTTGATTTTAACTGTACATGATTCCCTCCCTTCGCCCTCCTTTCAGGCAAATATTTAAAACTTGAGCCAAGTTTGCTTTCCGGTTCTTTCTCCCGGCATCTTCTTGGGGATAATAGAGCAAAAGAAAAAATCGCAGCGACTTGGAAATTTCTGATGTCGTTTGTCTTAATAATTCCATGGGACGAATGGGGCCCTCGGCACGCCGGGGGGCTGCCACCTCCTGCTCCAGGGTTGGCCTGCGTGCAAACCACGCCTGAACTGTGGTCTCTTTACGCAGTTGGGATGGCGTCACCCAGCCCGGCGGCCCTTCAGGGATGGGGTTTGCTGTCGTGGAAGCCGAGCTGAAGGTGCTGTGCAGAAGAAGGCGTTGCAGAGAGGCGTGCTGCTGCCCCAGCGCTCCGCTCCTCGCGCGGCCGCGTCGGGCGTTCGGTGCTCTTCTGCTCTGCGGGTTCAATATCTGTAAAAACAAAAGGAGATAAGGAAAGATAAGATCTCTCCACTGGAAAGCGTCGGTGTCTGTGTGCTTCCCAGCCCGGAGCCATCCTCATTTCTCACCCCCCCTCCCTCCCCCTGTTGTGGTGCGTTTGAACCATGCTGCATTCCGTGGAGGACCAACAGGGCCGTGCTTTCCCCAGGTCTCCGGGGCCGTGTGGTTTGCAGACCAGGTTTATCAACGAGAAAACAACAACAAATAATAAATGCGCACAACCATCCGTCTCACCTGCGCTCTGTGTATCGTCCTTGGAAATTTCTGATGTCGTTTGTCTTAATAATTCCGGGGCACGAATGGGGCCCTCGGCACGCTGGGGGGCTGCCACCTTCTGCTCCAGGGTGGATTGAGTTTTCCTCGTTAACTCCTGATGAATTTCTCACCCTTAGGCAGAGGGTGGGGGTCGGTGCAGCCCCCACCTCTCCAGCCCTCCTTCACAGAATCACAGAATGGCCAGGGTTGCGAGGGACCTCAAGGATCATGACTCTCCAACCCCCCTGCCACATGCAGGGCCACCAACCTCCACATTTAACACCAGACCAGCCTGCCTGGTCCTTCCCTTTGCCGCAGCAATCCCACATTTAATGTAATTCTTCCCTTTTTTCAGTAGGAGAGGATGGGGGCAGCACTCCATAGCTGCAAAACAAAGTGCATCGGGGTGAGCAGCACCGCAGCGTGGAGCTGAGGCTGCAGGAGCTGGGGAGGCGTGTGGGGCCTGGGAGTTTGTCCCAGGCAGAGCTCCGTGGGGTTCCAGACTTCTATCCCACGCTCTGTTCTGCCTCCCGATGTCCTTGCAGTGCAGTGCCAGCCCAGCCAGCAGCCCCTGCCTTCATCCCACGCTCTTCCTCGCTCGCCCTATGGATGAGCTCTCCTCACTGACTCAGAAGGAGAGTTACAATGATGAGTAAAGCGTTGGTGCTGAAATCATAACCTATCACAGAGCTGTAGGGGTTGGAAGGGACCTCCGGAGGTCATTGAGTCCAGCCCCCTGCAGAGCAGCTCCTGCAGCAGGCTGCGCAGCGCGGCGTGCAGGAGGCT